AATCTATAGTGCAGACTGTATTCTTTAATTTTCATCAGTAAGTACCTCAAGTCATCCTCACTTTCAGAAAGCAACATTGTGTCATCAGCGTGTCACATGTTGTTAAGGATTCTTCCTCCAATCCTGGTTCCATATTCTTCTTCATATAGTCCAGGTTCTGGAATTATTTGCTCAGCATACAGATTGAATAAGTATGGTGAAAGTATACAACCTTGACACACTCCATTCTTGATTTTAAACCATGCAGTGCTCTCTTGTTCTGTTCAAACAACAGCATCCTGGTCTATGTACAGGTTTCTCAGGAGTACAATCAAGGGTTCTGGAATTCCCATTCTTCTCAATTTTACCCATAACTTGTAATGAACCACACAATCGAATGCTTTTGCATAGTCAATAAAACACAAGTAAACATCTTTCTGGTATTCTTTTCTTTGAGCCAAGATCCACCTGACATCAGCAATGATATCCCTTCTTCCATGTACTCTCCTGAAACTAGCTTGCATTTCTGGTAGTTCTCTGTCAATATACTGCTGCAACCATTTTTGAATTATCTTCAGTAAGATTTTACTTGCATGCTATATTAATGATGTTGTTCAATAATTTACACATTGTGTGGGATCACCTTTCTTTGGGAGGGGTACAACTATGGATCTCTTCCAGTCAGTTGGTCAGGTAACTGTCTTTCAAATCTCTTGGCATAGAGGAGTGAGTGTCTCCAGCAGGGCATCCATTTGTTGAAACATCTCAATGGATATTCTATTAGTTCCTGGAGCCTTGCTCTTGGCCAATTCCTGCAGTGCAGCTTCAACTTTTTCCTTCAATACCATTGGTTCTTGATCATATGCCACCTCCTGAAATAGATGAAGATTGACCAGGTCTTTTTGGTAACCTGATTCTGTGTATTCCTTCCATCTTCTTTTGATGTTTCCTGCATCATTCAATGTATTGCTCATAGAATCTTTCAATATTGCAACTTGAAGCTTATTTTTTCTCCTCAGTTCCTTCAGCTTGAGAAATGATGAGTATATTCTTCCCTTTTGTTTTTTCTAACTCTGGGTCTTTACACATTTCATTATAATAATTAGCTTCGTCTGGTCAAACTGCTCTTTGAAATCTTCTGTTCAGCTCTTTTATCTTGTCATTTCTTCCATTTGCTTTAGATACTCTCTGCTCAAGGGCAAGTTTCAGAGTCTCTTCTGACATCCATTTTGGTCTTTTCTTCCTTTCTTGTCTTTTAAATGACCTCTTACTTTCTTCATGGATGCTGTTTTTGATGTCATCCCACAATTCCGGTTTTCAGTCAGTGGTATTCAATGCATCAAATCTATTTTACACGTGGTTTCTAAATTCAGGAGGTATATATTCCAGGTCATATTTTGGCTCTCATGGACTTGTTCTAATTGTCTTCAACTTCAAGTTGAACTTGCATATGAGCAGTTGATGGTCTGTTCTACAATCACCTCCTGGCCTTGTTTTAGCTGAAGCTTTTGAGCTTTTCCATAGCCTCTTGTCACAGATGTAGTCAGTCTGATTCCTGTGTACTCCATCTTCTGAAGACCACATGTGCAGCCACTGTTAGTGCTATTGAAAAAAGGTATTTTCAATGAATAAGTCATTGATCTTGCAAAATTCTGTCATGCGATCTCCAGCCTTACCTCTGTCACTGAGGCCAAATTTTCCATCTTCTGGTGATTCTTCTTTGTATCCAACTTTTGCATTCCAGTCATCAGTGATAATTAACACATCTTGATTACACATTTGGTCAATTTCAAACTGCAGAAGTTGATAAAAATCTTCAATTTCCTCATCTTTGGCTTTGGTGGTTGATGCATAAATTTGAATAATAGTAGTATTAACTTGTAGGCATATGGATATTATCTTATCACTAACAGCATTGTACTTCAGGACAGATCTTGCAACTCCTTTGTTATGATGAATGCCACACCACTTCTCTTCAAAATGTCATTCCTGACATACTAAGTTGTATGGTTGTCTGATTCAAAATGGCCAAAACCAGTCCATTTCAACTCACTAATCCCTAGGATATCAATCTTTATGTGTTCCATTTCATTTTTGACAACTTCTAATTTTCCTAGATTCATACTTCATACATTTCATGTTCTGATTATTAATGGATAATTGCAGCTGTTTCTCGATTTGAGTCTTGCCACATCAGCAAATGGAGGTCTCAAAAGTTTTACTTTATCCATATCACTAAAGTCGGTTCTGCTCTGATGATGCAGCTCTTTTGAGAGCCCTCCGACCTAAGGAGATTGTCCTCCTGCAGTCTTTCAGACAGTGTTTCTGGGCTATTCATAGAGTTGCTCAGTAATGTATCAGACAGTGTTCCTCTGCTATTCATATGGTTTTCCCTGGCCAATTACTTGAGAAGTGGATGGTCTCTTCCTTCTTCCTAGTCTGTCTCAGTCTGTAAGCTGCATTGAAACTTGTGCAGCATGTGCAACCCTGCTGGTGTTTGAAATACTAGTGGCACAGCCTCAAGCCTCACAGCAACATGCAAGCCACCACAGTACAACAAACTGACAGACAAATTTGTCTCCCTTAGCTGTTTGAAACTTCTCCAGCCTCCCCTTACCTGCATCTTGCCACTCTGTCTGTCATCCCCTGAATTTTCTTTCCCCACTTCCTGCCTGTTGGGGGTGCACTCTGTCATTCCCCAGCTACATTTTGATGCTTTTATCTAAAAGGATCTCTTCACTCACCCAATGCCCTTACCTACTGCCTCATTCATCTTTCAGTCTGAGAAATTAAATATCAGTTCCTGAGGGAAATTAATACCACACCATCTAGTCCAAATTAGAATTTTTTCATATTCCTTCCCCTAGTCCCTGTTCTTTTCCCTGATAATACATATTCTGTCTTTTGATAAAGCATTTTCCCTGAGATTTTCTGTTTATTGGGATTCTCTCAAACCAATTATAAGGTCTATGATGGAAGAGACCACATATACTTTTTTCATCATTGATTTTCAGCAACTAAAATAGTCTCTGGCACATATTAAGGACTGAATAAATATTAGTTGAAATGATAAAAGATATAATTTAAAAAGTAAGCCCTGGGTGCTATGAGAAACCAAAGAAGATAGAGCCCAATCTCCCTGTTAGGGTGAGGCAGGGAAAAAAGGGAAGTTTTGGAGAAAAGATGATGACTGAGATTATCTTGAAATATGAGGAAAAAATATGTAAGTTAAACAAATAAGAAGGGACTCTTCATAATCGAAGAAATTGCACATGAGAAAACATAGTGAATAAGAGAGCTCATCATTTTGTAAACAGGAAATAATTTATGTTCAGAGTGTACCAGTTACCACTTGCTATGAAGTCTATCATGACCTATATGTGTCAGAACAGAATTGTGCTCCATAGTGTTTTCAGTGACTGACTTTTTTGAACTAAATCACCAGGTCCGTCTTCTGAAGCACCTCTGGGTGCTCTCAAACTAAAAATCTTTATGTTAGCAGCTGAATGTGTTGTTTGCACCACCCAAGGACTCCTTCCGAGTGCACAGAAACAGAGGACAGAGAAACAGAGGGCTATCATGCTGAGTAGGTAGGCAGAGATTACATGACAAATTCATGCTGGTGAAGGACTCTGAACTTCATCTTGTATAGCAAAAAAGTCACTGAATTTTTTTTTCCATTGATGTGTTTAACTTTCCAGGATTCTAGATTCCATACTATTAATATTTACTCAAGTCTGGTTGCTAAGAATTATATGAGATACTTCACCAATTATCAATGCTAGTAGCTGCCTTCACCAATTATCAATGTTAGTAGCTGCCTTGGGAGCTCTGGTGACATAGTGTCTAAGGCATTTGACTGCTAACCAGAAGTTTGGCAGTTCAAACCAACCATCCAAGCCTTGGAAGGAAGGTTGGGCAATCTACTTGGGTAGTGATACCACCTTGGAAACCCAAGGAGGGGTTGCCACGAGTCAGATCCAACTTGGCGGCAGTGAGTTTGGTTTTGGTTTTTGGTTAGTAGCTGCCTTGAGGATAATTAATAAATAGAATGATATGGAAGAGAATTAGATAGGAAGGAGACTCCAGGAAAGAAGTTACACTCTTAGATAAAGTAGTGACAACACAATAACAAGTCAAGTCAACTGGAAAAAGACATTTCAATATTCAGATTGAGGAGGTAAATCAAGGACTCAAACCTGGACACCAAGTTTTGCCACAGAATGGTTGGGGCCAAGGTCAACTGTTTTATCTTCAAGATAAAACCAAAACCAAACTCACTGCCATCTAGTTGATTCCAATTCATAGTGAACCCCATTTGGTTTACAAGGTGATAAATCTTAGGGGAGTAGATTGCCCCATCTTCCTTCTACAGAGTGGCTGCTGATGACTTTGAACCACTAACCTTCTGATTAGCAGTCAAATGCCTTAGGCACTGCAATAAAGAGAACTGAGAATAAGAAAAAGTAGAGATATATAATTTTTTTGCTTCTCTTACTTTGGAAGTAGCCAGGTTGGATATATCCTTGCTCTCATCAGTTGACATATTAGTTTTTGAATGACTAACATTTAGAAGAACTCTGGTAGTGTAGTCTGAAGCATTTGACTGCTAACCAGAAGGCTGGCAGTTCAAACCCACCAGCCACTACTAGGAAGGATGATAGGGTGATCTACTTCCATAGTGATACCACCTCGGAAACCCAAGAATGGGTCACTATGAGTTGGATCCGACTCTATGACAGTGAATTTTTTTTTTTTGAATATTTAGAGTAGTGATATGGAATGAATTGTGTTCTGGAAATGAGTAGTTGCTACTCACATTGGCAGAGCCATGTTAGAGGCAGTAAAACTGATAGTACAAAGTCATAATGTCTTAACTTGTCTGAGCCTTATTGCCTTTAGATGTAAAATGTCCTTGTGTTACAGTGCTGTTGGACACTTAAATGAGAAAATACCTGAAAGCACACATTTTCTTGGCAGGCAATATGCACACAATTAGCTGAATAGTTAAAATTGGCTCTTTAATTAACAGTAAATGAAGTCTGGACCATTGTTCGTTGAAGGGCTGATTTGAACTCCTTATTTCTTAGACTGTAAATCATAGGATTGAACAATGGAGTGAGGATGGTATAAGAAACAGATATCAGAGTGTCTTGGCTTGAAGAGTAATTGGACTTGGGCCTTAAGTAGATGAAAGAGGCACAACCATAGTGAACCGTTACCACAATGAGATGTGAGGCACAGGTAGAGAAAGCCTTGTGTCTTCCACCAGAAGATTGGATTTTTAGAATGGCAGAGATGATGCGGATGTAGGAGACCAGGATAAGTAGCAGTGGAATAACCAGGACAAACACACCAAGCATGAATATGACCATCTGACTCAGGCGGGAGTGATGAGATGCCAGCTTAAGGACAGGAGATATGTCACAGAAAAAGTGATGGAGTTGGTTGGAGGAGTGGAAGGGCAAGTGAAATACCAGGCAGGTGGTGACCAAGGCAACAGTGAAGCCACAGGCACAGGCAGCAGCCACTAGCCCCACACATACCCCACGTCCCATGAGCATTGTATAGCGCAGTACAGATAGCCACATAGCGATCATAACCCATGGCTGCCAACAGGAAGGAGTGAGAGCAGCCAAGGAAAAGGAAAGTACACATCTGAATGGCACAGCCCAGGAAGGAGATGGTCTTCTTCTGTGCCAGCAGGTCCACCAGCATCTTGGGTACGATGACAAATGTGTAGCAGGTCTCAGAGCAGGAGAGGACAGCAAGGAAGAAGTACATGGGAGTGTGAAGGGCCCTGTCTAGCACAATGGTGGAAATGATGATAGCATTGGTGCCCAAGGTGAAGAGGTACAGGAGCAAGAAAATGACAAAGAGCAGCCGCTGCAGCCCGGCCAGAGATGAGAAGCCCAGGAAGACGAATTCTCCTACCACTGTCTCATTGACCCACTCCATGGACAGTGCTGCTATAGAGGAGAGTCAGGGACAGATCTAGAGTCAGGATCCATGGTGAAAAGTGGAAAGGTATGGGTAAATCAGCACAAACTCTTCAGGAAGCAGGCATTTTCAGGTGTTGGGTGGAACTCCTTCATTTCCTGTCAAAAATGTCTGCTAAAAGAAGAATAAGTGTTAATTATACAATAGAATAACTGACAGCCAATCAGGAGGCTTTCTTTAAGTCTGAGAATATATTATCTTTCCATCCCAGAATTCAACAATCAGTAATAGCTTCACTTGTCTATTATTCATAGCTTATTGGAAATAGCCCTCAGAGAGTGAAAAATGTGCTTAAATTCACATATATGTACCTGATTGTAAAGTGAAATAAAATAATCAATTGTGTTCAGAATAAATATTTGAAACTCAATTTATCCAACCATAAAATGAGAAGGGAGAGGAAGAATTAGATGATCTGTAAGGAAAGTTGTGAGAAGGCTAGTGTTTGCTGATGATTTATTATATGCTAATATATGTGTTAAGCTTATAATACTTATAAGTTTATAACCTGTCTCAGTTATTCCTTTCAGTAATCCTATTTAAGAACCTAAAACAATAGTAATGATAATAATAATAAATCTTTAATTGTATTTTGACAGACTGACAGCAAGAGACCAGTTAGGAAAATTAGTGGAAGTTCCACAAACAAAAGCAGTGAGTCAACAGTACAACAGAAGAGAATATTAAGTTAAAGGAACTCCTCTTTTCAGGGAGAGAATAATTATCAGAGTGGTAGGAAGACACTCATTTATTTTGTGGCATTTTTGCAACACACTTCACTTTTCCCATTCTGAGTTGCCTCAGAGAAAGTCAGAGAAATAAGAGTTTCTCAAAAATGGCTCAGAACTTGTCACAGAGATGAGAGAGAACAGAAACAAATCCCTTGATGCCAGTCCATTTGAGGAAAAATTAAAACAAAGATTTAAGAGAAATTAAGAAATCCTGAGACTTATATGGATGACATGAAAAGAAACGACATAGGCCTATTTGGACGTCCAGAACAAGAGGAGGGAAAAAAAAAAAAAAAAAAAACCCTGAGAAAATTGTTAAAACTTGCTAAGAAAATTTCCCCCATATCATGAAAGAAGAAAAGATGTCCATCCAAGGAGTTCAACAGACCCTATACAGGACAGATCCCAAGAAAAAGTCACTGAGACATATCATAACAAAACCGTCCAAAACCAAAGACAAAGAATTTTGAGAGCAGCTCAAGAAAAATGAAATGTTATGTACAATGGGCAACCAATAAGACTAAGGTCTGATTTCGCAGCAGAAACCATGCAGGCAAGAAGGCAATGGGATGGCATATACAAAATCTTGAAGGAAAAGAATTGTCAACCAAGTATTATGCATACAGCCAAATTGTCCCTCAAATATGAAGGTGAAATCAAAACATTCCCAGACAAACATAAATTAAGGGAATTTGTGAAAACAGACCAACTCCACAAGAAATGCTAAAGGGAGTCCTTCCGATAGAAAACCTACAAAGAAGAACAACAAATTAAAATCAGGATACTTGACATCACCACCTAGAAACCAAACCAGAAAAAGATTCTCAGAATAAGCTCACAAGAAATGTTCTTAGGGAAATAAAGGAGTCAATCTACATTCGACACTAGGAGCAAAGCAAATAAAGGGAAGAAAAGTTTTAATTACAAAACTTCCAAATGGAGAGGAAGACAGGACAATGTCTTTTTAGGACACATTGTTCCAAATTTAGGGGAGATAAGAATTTACTTCAAGGTAACCACAAAGAAAATTAACAATCCTTCTAACCAAATTAAGAAAGAAGAAATTTACAAAGGTTTGGTAAGCACAAAATCAACAATATAAAGAAAAGAGAAAAAACACTTGATAACAAATGAACTCAGCACAGAAAAATATTTGGAACAAAGAAATCACCAACAACACAGTAAAAAACACAATAGAATGACAGCAATAATAACTTTGAATAATTATACTCAATGTGAATGGACTAAATGCACCAGTCGAGAAAAAGAGTGGCAGATTGGATAAGAAAAGAAGACTCATCGATATGCTGCCTACAAGAGACCCTGCTTAGACTCAAAGAAGAAAATAAATTAAAAATCAAGGGGTGGAAAATTATATTAAGCTAATTGTAACCAGTCACCACTAATTATCAATACATCTTGATTTCATGTTTGGTCAATTTCAGACTGCAGATATTGATAAAAGTCTTCAATTTTTAGGTGTAAGGTGAGATAATTTTTTCATGGGTTCATTTTTGAACTGTGCAACCTAATAACTAAAGAAAGTATTATCTGGATACAAAATCATTTAGTGTGAATTGAGTATATGCAGCCTTCATTTATATACTCTTAGGACTTTACATCATTTTGTATTGCAGAAACATTGTCATCATATATCAGGAATTTTGGTTTTTGCAATTCTCTTGCTGGTAGTAACCTTTCCTTTTTTTAGATCTTAAATTAATTCATTGAATGTTTCTAATATTGTTTCTGTTCTTAAAATTTAGAGAGAATAATATTTGCTCTTTCTTACTCATTACAAACTGATTCTGAATATAATGGGTATAATTTATTTTATTAAAGCTGTTACTTATATTCTCACACTGTGTTTTAAAATTATTTCATATAAGTAATAGTTTTGTTTCACTCTGTAATTATAAAGAGATTACTGGTGTAATCTCTTCAAGTCAGCTCCCAACTCATGGGGGCCCTGTGTGTTACAGAGTAGAAATGCTCCATAGGATTTTCTTGGCTGTAATCTTTACGGGATGTGGAGCTCTGGGTTGAGTTTCAACTGCCAACTGTTTGGTTAGCACCCATTTGCAAAATACTTGCACCACCCAGGCTACATAAAGAGATTACTACTGAATGTAAGAGAAACATAGATCATGTATATCCTTATTTATTATAAATTAGTTATACATTTACTATATGTCTTGTAGAGTTAATATGAAAGTTTCCATACTTATTATCTCCTTATCACTGGAAGAATTTCTATTTCAAGACACTGGGGGAAATCTAAATTTATGGCCATTGTTTCTCTTTGTTGTCTCATCACTTTTCCCAAGACTTTTATCTGAAAACCCAAAGATTTTCATCCAGATCTCCTTTTAACTGGTCCATCTCTAACCCTCTCTATGCTTTAACTCCACTGAATATGGCATATTGAATAGATCATAAAACTTTGTATTCTCTGATTCTGAAGCATTGCCTGAATCAACCCAATTACAACCACAACAAAGTTAAGTTTATATTGTTACTCAGACCCAGAGGATGGATGATATCAGCTAAGTGGATTTTCTTTCAATATAACCCCGTGGCCTCGATGAATTATGTGGTTGATATATCTGCTCTTCTCATGATGTATGGAGATCAAAGCTCCTTAGTTTATCTGAGAACTTCATCTGAGTTCATCTGAGAATCTTAGTTTAGCTGCTCAGAAAGAAACCAGAAACCACCAGAGTATGCTATCACCAGTATAATGAGAAGATATAGAATAGAAAAACAAAGTCAAACAAACAAACAAACAAAATTATCTTCTACTCAATAACCATAGGCTATAAAATGAAGGAGAATGATCCCACCCTTGGGAGTAAGGAGACTTACATTTTATGTCTCGCTTTGTGTGCCTTTTGGAGAGGTGGTTAACTTGGATATTATTTCCATATTTTAAAATTGAAGGGGGTACAGTGCCTATTAAGATACACAGAAGGTACTAAAGCAGAGGCTTCTTGATTGTGTGAACAATCAGAAGTTTTGATGTAAAGGAGCAGTTGAATATTATGACCCCTAAAAGCTCTTCCAATTCAGAGAGTCCAAGATTCTCTACTTTGATGATCCTCAAAATCCTCCTTATTTTGATATTCTAGAATGTATGGATGGGATTCAAGTTGTGATCTTTGGAGAAAACACTTACGTGTCATATTTTTCTAACCCCTGAGATGTTCCATTGGGACTTTATGCAATAACATTTTGGGGCCTGAGTTCTTCAAAAAAGGGACAATTCAAGGAATTCTTATATGTGAAAGTTTTGAGGCATTCAAATATTTATTTTAGGGAAATCATTAATCAATTAATGGAGAAAAATTATGTAGACGGTCTCAGAAAATAAAAACGTGGACTTTTAATCTTCTTAGGTACATTTGAAGATCCTAATTTCCTCAAATTGCTTTATTATACTAGAATTTAATTATCAGAATTATGTTATAGCTGAAAACATACAACAGCATGCATACAGAGAGAGAAATTGAAATTTTATATGTTTAATTTAAGCCATATGTCAGTCAATTTAAATAATAAGAAGAAGAAAGAAAAAATCATATTGAGGGCAAGAATGGCTCAGTTTGATCATTAAGAAAAATTAATAGAACTATGGATAGTAACCAATCACTCTTAACCACCAGCTGCTGTCGATGGTAACCTCATGTTTGTCAGAATAGAACAGTGTTCCATAGGGTTTTTAATGCTGATTTTTCTAAACCAGATCTCCAGATCTTTCTTCCAAAGCAACTTTGAGTGGACTCAAATCTCTAATCTTTTGGTTAGCAGCTGAATGTGTTAGCCATTTGCACTACCATGGAACTCCTAATTACTCTTGATACTTAGATTAAAAGTAGCTCCTGATTTTTCTCCTTATTGCTGTCACTTACCTGAGCTACCATCACCAATCTCCATGAAGATGAAGAGGAAATGTTCTCATGTACTACACATCACATAAAGTCCAGACTCCACACAACCCCAGACTAGATCAATGTCCTTGCTCCTCAGTACCTATATAGTTCTCCTCCAATTCAGAGACTGGCAGCTAATGGATTTGTGGGATTCCTTGACAAATAGATTCTAAACCACATATCAGAGCCTGAGAAAATAACAGCAGAAGAGAGGAAATTTGCCTTAAGAGAAAGCTTTCATCTGGATCAACTAGAATATCCTCCTTTATCTCCAGAATCAGCTATTTAAGGCTAAATT